TCTTATCTCCAAATCAATTTTATCTAAGTGATTTTCCAATTTACAACTGATGCTGAATATCTGAAGATATTGATTACTTCCGTGTTTATTCTAGTAATATATCTTCTATTACCACTTTCATCACTGTTTATTTCTTCCATCTTCTTCATCATTTTTCTTTGATGGATTTACAATTGAAGGTGTCATCAATTTCGTCGGACTGCCATATTCCTAAGTATTTATACAAGTCATCACCTTCAACTACGGGGATGTTTTGCATTCCATTTGGTATTTCTTTAATGTTTTTTAATACCAATCCTGATTTTTTCTCATTCATTTCCATCCCTATTCCACTTATTATTTCTTTAATTTCATTGTGGATTATTCCCATTTCTTCACTACTTTCCGTCATTATTCTCAAATCATCCATATATAATGTGTGATTTGATTTTGGGAATTTCTCTTCGATGATTTGAGAAATTACATTCATCTGAATGATGAAGAGTAGAGGGGATAAGGAATCATTTGTAAAATTCCTCTATTTAATTTAATACTACCTAGATATTCATTAAATTTATAACCAATGAATATCTTCCATCTAGTCATCATACTTTCAATAATGTCAATGATGACACCCTCTACATTAAAATATTTTAATGATTCAATAACCCATTCGTGGTTGACTGTGTCATATGCTTTCTTAATGTCATAATATGACTCCACATATTTTGGGTATTTTTCTTCTTTTTGCTGCTTCATCATATAACTATTAATTATTCCTTCTTTAGCAGCTAAAGATTGCAACTTACATCCCAGTTGATTATTACTGATTTTCAATGATTCACAATTCATGTTAAGTCTTCTGTGAATCTTTTCTTTTAATAATGAGGTAAATACTTTCATAATTACATTTGTACAACTGATATGACGATAATTAGTGACATCATTCATATCAATTTGTGGATTAATAAAGTTCTTCCACTTACCATATCTAATGGGATGTTTTGATTGAAGTTTAACCATTCATTAAAGATACTAAGAATGATTTCTCTTGATGATGACATCCTTTTCCAATAATACCCATATATAATGTCTATTCCTGGTGCTTTCCAGTTACTTATTTTCATTATACTTGAATTTAATTCATTTAATGTTATTATGACATTATCATAATTGATATATCTTTCATTCCACGAGGTGATTTGTTTTATTTTCCAATAATCTTTATTTAATTTCACCTGTGTTTCATATAACGATTTCCAATATTCTAAAGTAATATCGTTATTTGGGTATATTTCATTATTTGTTTCTTTTTTCTTTATTCTAATTTTCTTATTAGAATCAAACATGATTTTATTTGTATTGATTCTGACCCTTTCATCTTTATTAAATTTAATTCTTTCTTTTATCATTATCATCATATATTTTAGGTACTTTATTTTTTCTAGTGCTTTAACTTTTATTCCTTCTTCATCATGTTCTTTTAATTTCATGATGCACTTTATTCTGTACCATTTCCTTCCCTTGACCAAATCTTCTAGTCTATTTATTTTCTTTAGGATTTCTTTTATTTCATCAAATTTATCTCCTATTATTTTATTTTGGAGATAGAGGTGCATAATCATTGAAATCCTCTTCATATCATCTTGCAGATAATGCATTCTGCTTCCTGACCATACCCATCTATTATTAATTTCCATTATTAATTTGTCAGTTTCTTTTCTTTTCCAGTAGTAATTAATGTTTGAACATTTTTCTACTTTCATTTCTTTTATTTTATTGATGAGAGTGTTAAGGTATTCTTCATCAATTTCAGTAGAATTATTCTTTAATATGATGTTTTTTATTATTGAATTACACTCTACTCTTCCTTCTATTATATCATTTACTTTCACTTTAATGTATTGTTTAGTGCTTTCTTTTATTTTATGTGACATTTTAATATATTTAATATATTCTTTTTCATTATTGACATTAATGTTTATTACTTTTATTATACTTTCTATTTTTTCCCATCTTAATTTCTTATATAATTTCTTATTTAACCAATTAATTGCAAAACAATACAACACTTCAATTAATATTCTATTTCTTTGTTTTGTTGTATTTCTTGTCTGATTATCATCTCTTGTTTTTTGACAATCAGTGCTTTGCTTTTCTCTTCGATTTCCACTACTGTCTTTTTCATAGGAGTAGTTTCGTTCATCTTCATCGTTCCTGATGATGCTTTCCTCAGTACTGGTTGTGTATTTATCACAAGCGTCATCGTTTTCTTCTTCTCTAGTTCCTTCTGTGAGATAAAATTTTCAATATCATCTTGTTGTTTTGATATTATTTGTTTTTGTGTCTCATTTTCTTTTTATGTGTTGTCTAATTCTTCTCTTGTTCTTTCTGCAATCTCATGACTTATTATTGCTGCTTGTTGAATTTCAGAGATTTGTTTTTCTTTATCTCTTATTTCACTTTTCAGCTCCTCAATTTTCTTCTCTAGTACTTCCGCTTTTTCCTCTAATACACTATTCTTCTTCTCCAGTATTTCACCTTTTTTCTTTAGCTCTTCTGTTTTCTCCTTTTGTTCATCCTTTTCCTTCTGTAACTTCCCTTTAGTGGATTTCAGACTTCGAATGGTTTCTTCTTTGTTATTCATTTCCATGATTTTCCTTCCTTCTATCTCATTTATTTCACCTTGTAATTTTATATTTTCTTCTGTTAGTTGTTCATTTTCTTTCTTCATTTCATTATAATTTGTTTGCACCTTCTTAATTTCTCTTTTCATATTTTCTATCTCTTTCTCAAATTCTTTTCTGACTATTTCTTTTGCTTTTTCCATCATTTCATCTGAGATGGCTTGTTCTTCTTCCATTCTTTTTGCTTGATATTCTTTAATTTTTTCTTCTAATTTTTTAATTTGCTTTTGAAGTACTTTAATTTCTTCTTTTTCTTTATAATTTTCCTCTTCATTCTTTATTTCTTCTTTGTTTTCTTCTTGTGTTTTCCTTTCTTTTTCTGTTTCATTTATTATTTTAGCCATTTTACATCTTTCTTGTAATTCTTTGATTGGATTTCTACTTTTGATTTCTGTTTCGATTGCTTGGATGTCTTCTTCTTTCCATCCTTTTGTTCTTTCCTTAAATTTTTCTTGCATTTTTCCAATTCTCTTTTTCTTTCTAATTGCATATACTTCTTGAAGAATGTCATACCATCTTTTCCTTTTACCTTCATACTTTTTGAGTATTTCTTCATATTCTCCTTTTTCCCATTTACTTGTTATTCCTTTTATTCTTTCATGTATCTCTTTTATTGTTAACCATCTATGTCTATTGTTTGTATGTTCATTATTATTCCAGTATTTATCCTGTTTTTTTTCCATTCTTCTTTGTCTTTGTTGTTTTTTAAACCCTTTTCTCTTGGTATTTCTTTTATTATAATTGTGATATCTTTTATTATAATTGTAATATCTTTTATTGTTGTTATTGGTATTTAACCTTGTATTTCTATGTCTTGTTTGCTTTTCTTTACAAGACGTCAAGGCGTTACTCCATAACAATGGCAATAAAATTTGTTGTATTTCCTGCATTGGAAAAGGATCTCTTCATGAACAATAATAATAATATAGAAAAATAACTCAAACAACCAAAAAAAAAATTTATTGTTTTAGATCATTCACAAATGAATCAAAGAATTGTACAAATTCTTTGTATGAATATTTTTGTTTTTGGTCCATTTCATTATAACTATCATTACAAGAACCTTCTTCTTCCATTTTATTATTTTGAATTATTTCTATTTTATTTTCTTGTTCCTCTTGAACAGAAATTAATGTAGGAACTCTTGTAACATCAAAGTCTATTATTTTATTAAATGGTATTGGAACACAAATATTTCCAGTAGCAGGATGAATACAAAAAGGAGCTTTAAGTAAGTGATTTCTTTTCATAGAAACATTAATGTCAAGTCTAGGATAAAGATAAGTAAAAACAATTCTTTGTAATGCTTTAGGATCATCATTCTAATTTATGTAAATAAGTATTACAGAAAATAAAGAAATAAAGAAGAGAAATAACAAACAAGAATTCTTTTTACATAATCCCATGTTAAATCTTCTTTTTCTTCACATTGAGATTGTTTTGAAGTTGGAATAAGTCTAATAAAACGAGAACGTCTTTCAGAACTTTCAAGAATTTGTTCATCTTGAAGATATTTTTTGAATAAAGGTTCTAAAATTTGATATGAATCATCAAATAATGCATGACGTCCAGGAATTACTACATATGATTCATTTAGTGAATTTGTATTCTTTGCTTCAAAAAGATTTAAATATTGAACAACATTCATTCTTAATGTATCTGTCATTTCCATTGCACTATCATCACATACCCAAATATGAATTCCTCTTCTTCCACTAAATACATTTAAAATATGTTTAAATCCAAATTGTTCATGAAGAATATAATTTAATACTTGAACAGCAGCAACTAATAATGTCCAACATTTTTCACAAATATTTGTTCCTTGACAACAATATCTTACATCATTATATTCATCCATATCAATATCAATAACAAATTCTCTTAATAAAGGTGTATTAGTTACTCCAATTAATAATTTATCAAATACTGCACCAATATCAAATTTAATTGGTACTTTCTCTTTTAATTTTCTCTTTAACTCTTCACTACTTTTAAAGTGTTGATATCGAATATAACTTTCATCAAACATAGTAAATGATAATTCTCTTGTATCAGAATATTTTTTATTTCTTGTTATCCATTTATAAAATGTTTCAACAGGAAATGATTTATCATAATATTCCTTTCTTTGTTTTAATGTTGAATCTTCACTGTTCATCAAAAAGTATTTTTTTTATATTTTTTTTTTCTTAAACAAAAAAAAAATTATTTTTAAGATAAATAACATAAATAATAAAATGACTTAATAAAAGAAAAAAATAAAGGGTTTATAATTAATAAATATGATATGCCTTTGATCTTTAAGAAATATAAATAGAAAGAGATACATTAATGGTATTTATTCTGTTTAAATATGTATTGAGTAATTTCTGGAGATATTGTGCATGTTCATTATTATATAATTATGCTGCATTTTTATTTTGGCTTGTTGTTCCATTAGTTGCAACAAAACAAGACGCAAGTAATTGGGATTTAGCAATTATTAATGCAATTAATTTTGGATGTTGTTTTCTTCTATCATGGGTATGTGGGTTTATTAATAATTTTCTTCCAGGATGGTTACTTGCAAGAATTGGTGTATTAATTTATATTGCAGCATGTATTTTATTAATGTTTATTAATGATAATTTATGGATATTATGGATTATGGGTGTTATGTATGCATTTTCATATGTTTTATTTTGGATTCCAATTCAAACTTCAATTTCAAGAGAAAGTACAGCAGGAGATGCAGAATTTTGGTTGGGTGTTTTTAGTGGAATGTGGACATTTGGACAATCACTTGGATATTTGTGTGGAGCATTTTTATTCACGAAATTAGGTGCATCACAGGCATTATCTATATCAGTAGCTGCATTAGTTATTGTATTTATTATTTATCCATGTTGGGAAGGAAGTGTAGTTTGTGGGAAAGACTTATCATATACTAAAGTTAAAAATCCAGAAGACCTGACAGAAGAAGAATTAAAAACAGAAGAAGAAAAGAAAAAGAATGAACCAATTATTTGGCAAATGGGAAAGAATGAACGTGCAAGACTCAAAAAGAGAACTATGCAATTTCTTATTCCATCATTTGTATGTTGTATTACTTGTTATGGAAATTTATTAACATATGGTTCACAATATTTTAATAGAATTTTTGATACTAAAGATGGATATTTCCCTACTATGGAAGATGATGATGACAGATATGATATTTTTATTGGAGTTTTCTTTTGTACAATTTATTTTATGTATACAGTAGGAATTCTTACTGTAGCACAATTTAAATTTATGTATTTTAATAGAGGATTAATGTATTTCTTTATGACTGTATCAATTATTAATCATTTTATTTGTGGAGTAGTTTCTCATTGGATTGCTCAATTATTAAGTGCAGTTTTCTTAGGATTATGTGGTGCATATTCTTTCCAAAATGTCTTAATTACAACTTCTCGTCTTTCAATGTTAACATCTAATATTTCATCTATATATGTTGGTCTTCAAGAATCTTTAACATACAATATGGTAGCTTTTTCTTTACCTCTTATAGTTGGACCAATTTCAGATTCATTAAATGATTACAGAATTCCAATGTTTGGGTGTGCTATAGTAGGAGTTGCATCATTATTTGTTTCAGAAGTTAGTTGGCAGTTATTTGACATTTTTATAATTAGAAAGATGGATAAAAAAGATGCACAACAAGTTGTAGATTTATGTGAACAAATCCTTAATGATGGTTGTGCTCAAAAATTTATTGATAATCCAAGTGAATATCATCAATTTTGTAGAGATAATTGGTTAACCCCTAAACAAGTGGATGTTCTTCTTGCTCGTTTGAAACGAAAATCAATAGAATAAAGATGCCAATTTCATAATTTGACTGTTTTCTTTTATTTTTGTTTTTATTGTTTCAAATAGAAGAAATTATTAAACAAAAAGTAGTTTATTTTAATGTATAACAAAATGTAAATTAAACGTTAATTGCAGTTTGTTTAATTGCAGGTGTGTCTGTCTTTTCTAATTGTGCTTGTTCTGTTAATACTCGGATAATAGAGTCAATGTCATTATTTAATATTAGTCCAGCTTGAATAAATTCATTTAATACATAATGTACTCTATCAGAATGGAAAACTAAATCTAATTCACAAACATTCTCAAAGCATTTATCAAGAACTTCAACAATATTTTGAATTAATGAATGAATAAATAATTCATTTTCATTATCATCAAATACACAAATAAAACTAAGAGTAGCATATGTTCTACTAACTGCAGTAATTCCTTTTTCTCCCCAAATAGATTGTGGTACAGAAATAATATTACATGACTTTCCAGTTCTTTTACATAAGAGTGCATATAAGTCTCTAACAACTTTTTGTTGTTCTTCTTCTTTCATATGATTATAAAAACGAACTAATCGAATTTTTCCCATATTATTAATGATAATAAATGCTTTAATCATTTTTTATGTTTTTGTTTGTTATTTTCTAAGTTCTTTTCTTCTCAACTTTTCTCTTTTTCTTTTTTCTTTTTGACTGACTTTTTCTTTTATTATTTTTTGTGATTTATGAAATTTCTCAAATATCTTTTTTTTTTTTCGTTTTAATGAAATGAAAATGAAATTTCTGCTTTAAAAATTTATGAAATTACCATTAATTAATTGATCCTTTCTTATTCATTTGTTCTTCTTCTCTTATTGTTAAATGGTGTTTCATTTCTTCATAAATTTGTTCACATTCCTTTAATTGGAAAAGTAATTCAACAAGTCCTTTGTCTTTAACTTTTACTTCTTCAAATACGATAATATCACCATCAAAAGATGCATTAATTAATCCTTTTTTTATTAATTTGTTCAATCCTACCCTTAATAGATTTTTATCATAATGAATTCTTCTTGCTAATGCTTCAACACTAATTGAGTTAAATGCTTTAGAAACTTTATTAATTCCTGAATAAATATATGAAACAACAACTTGTTTAGCTAATCCTAAATTCCCATCTTGTTTAAGTATTGATGAAAATGCTTCAATAATAAATTTCACCTTTTCTGGTCCATTGATGAAATTTTCTTGGATTTGTTTATAAACCAATAATGGTTGGTATAAATCAATAAAGTAATTGAATTGTTTTGAAACAGGATATAAACTGTAGTTTATTATAAGACAAAGTAATGCCTCTTTTTTCCATGCTGCAACACATTGTGGAGTTATCTCTTTTGATGGTGTTGTAATACATTGATCAAAAAGGAAATAAGCTTCTTGAAGATCACGATTATACAAAGCAATACATCCTGAATAATACAAAAACAACTGAAGAGTGAAAGAATTCATTGGTTGTTGAACTTTATGATATTTTGTAAAATACAATATTTTACCATGTTCATATTCTTTTTTTGCAAAGAGAATATGTGCTAATAATGCGTGATATGGAGATAATACTCCATCTGGTACTTCACTTAACAAAAGATGTACTAAATCTGTTAGTTTATCTAATAATGAACATTGTCTTTGACAAAATCGTTCAACGCTTTGAAGTGTTTCAAGAAAAACAGGTTCAAGTGATTTTTTCATTGAAGGAGATATATTTTCATGATAATTTTTTATTGATGAAATTACTTTCGATAAATTCTTATCATTCAATGTTCGTGTTTGTTCCTTTAATATTAATAAATGACTTGATGGATAATTAGAAATGGTATATTTTTCTAAAAGTTCATTATATCTTTCATATGTCAATGGTGAGAATTTTAATCCTTTTATCTCGTTAAATATTGTTGATTGGTTTTTATCAAGAACACTACTTAAATCATTACTACTTGACATTTATTGTAATTTTTGTTATTCTAGTTCTTTCCCTTTAAGTTTTTTCTTTTCTTTTTCATACCTCATAAAAAAAAACAAAATCTGAAAATCTAACTTTGATTTATTTATTTTTTTTTTTAAGTTCTTTTTTAAATTTATTCTGAATTTTTTTATGTATTTCTCAAAATAATTTGAATTATTGTATTAGTGTTATTCTTGTTTCTTCTTCAATGCTCAGTTGTTATAGCATTGTCCATTCGTTTCAAAATCTAATGAAACCATTAGACTATTCCTTTTTTGATTTGTTAATTCATTTTTGTTATATAATTTATAAATAACATAAAAAGAGAAATTAAAAAGAATAATAAAAAATAATAAAAAGAAAAATAAAAACAGGCAATTAATCAGCCAAATTGTAATTTGTTGAATTGTTGTTATGTTGAATTTGATTATTTCTTATTGTGATTAATGAATTGTCTGTTTAATCTTTCTCATTAAATGGACTTTGCATCAGAACATCCAAATGAATTGGCACTTATCAAACGAGAATCAAAAACATACGAAGCAATCCAACAAGGTGTAATTATTGGATTACTTATTATCAATGGATATTCAATTGAGATTAATCCACCGAGTCGTTTTGCTACAAAATCACTTCAACTATTCACCATCAACGAAATTTATCTACATTCAGTTGCAATGAATTTTGGAGTAACAATCAATGTTTCATGTGAACTTGGGTATGAAGAAGAAATGAGAGGGAAAGGAGAAATGGATGAAAATACAAGGAAGAGAGTTGTCAAAAGCACTAAAAGAAGAAGGGATATAAATAAATCAGCAATAACATTCAACACAATGGTTAAGATGGTAGAAGACATTGGATATAATATCACAAAGAGGTCAATCAAAAGTGCAAAGAAAACAGTCCAAATGATTAAAATCAAAGAAATTGGAATTGGAGAAGAATGGAAAATGAAAGAAGAAACAATCCAAGAAATAGGAAGTTTAATCAACCAATATATTAAAAATATCATTATAAGAACAGGCAAAGCAATTATATTATCAACTAATGATCCATACATTAATTCATTGTTTATCATTAATAATGAAGAAAAAAATAAATGGATGGATATAACAGAAAGTACTTCACATGAAATGTCTTATTTGTAATTATCTTCTTTTTATATCTTATTTATAAAATTGTTTAATTTTAAAATAAACAAACAGAATGACAATTTTATTAAGTGGAATTTTAATTATCTCTCATTTGTTTAATAAAATGTTTATTTAATTATATATAACATTGTTGTAAATAACATTTATTTTCATAAACTGAAAAAGAGATAAACTAACTACTATCTAATGAGTTCCCCAAGCTCAGGAAAACTATTTTTGAATCATGGTATTATCAAAAAGAAAACTGGTGTTTATGGTGGGATTGTCTCTTCTGCACTAAAACAACAACAACAGCAACAAGAGCCAGTAACTGAAGAAACCGTAAGATTATTAAATGAAAAGATTAGACAAAAAGATCAAAGGATTAGAGAACTTGAAATGTGTGGTGTTGAAAAGAATGAGTTACTAAGAGAAAAAGAAATCCTCGAAAATGAAAAGAAAAGGTTTTATGCAGATAAAATTGCATTTGAAAATGAGAAAAACGCTGCTCTTGAAATTGGAATGATTAGTCCTAGAGTAAATAACACTAATGAGTCGGAAGAAAAAGAGAATGAAATACAAACTTTAAAAAATGAAATGCAAAGAAGAGTTGCTGAGCTTTTAACTGAATTAGAAGATGTCAAAAAAATAAACAAGAAATTAGAAAATGAACAAAATGAAATACAAAAGAAATATGAATATTCTGAAAAAGAAAAAAGAGAAATAGAAAAAAGAAATGAAGAGAATGAAGAAAAGGTTCACCACCTAAGTAGTGAAAAAGAAGTTGTTGAAAAGAGTATAGAAGAAATGTATAAATTACAAAAAGAAAATAATGAAAAAATTGAAATAGAAAGAAATGAATGGAAAAATGAAAGAATTGAGTTTGAGCAGAAAATAAATCGGTTAGAAGAAATGATCACAAGTTATGAAAAGGCAGAAGGAAGTGATGAAAGAAATGAGATTAAAGAACAACAGATGCAAGATGAAATTATTGAACTTAAAAAGGTTCAAGAGAAACTTCAAAATGAAAAAATTGAACTACAAAACCAGTTAGAAAAACTTGTTATTGACAAAAATGAAGAACAAGAAAGAAAAAGAAAAGAAGTTGAAGAACTTAAGAAAAGGAATGAAGAATTGGAAAAAGAAAACACTAAAGTGAAAGAAAGTATTGGTAGTAATGATCTTGTTAACTCTTTAAAACAAGAATTAGAAAAGAAAGAAAAAGAAAATCAACTCATTAAAGATTCTAATGAAAAGTTGCAACAATATTATGCTTTTATTAATAAAGAAGCACAAAGAGTAATTCAAGAATCAGATGAGAAAGTCAAAGTGTTTATTAAAGAAAATGATAAAAATGGAGAGGAGTTACTTGAACAAAAAAAAGAGATTGAATCTCTTAAAGAAGGAGCAAAGAAAGAAAGTGAACGAAAGAAGAGAATGGTCATTTTATATGAGAGAAAATTAGATTCAATGAGAGAGTTACTTCAAATAACTCACCAAAAATTAGCTGGTTTTGAAGAAATTAAAAAATACTATAAAATTCAAGAAGAACAACTAAGAAAGTTAGAAGAAGAGAAAAAAGACGAATGGAAGGGGAATAATGAAGGAGAAGAAAGAGAAAATGAACAGAAGTTAATAGTAAGTGGGATAGTTATAGCACTAAAAATTGCTAACCCTAAATATGAAGATACAAAATATACAGTAGAAAAGTTGTTCTCAGAAATTAAAAAAGATAGAATAGAAAAGTATGAGTGGGCAGAGTATATTCAAAGTATTTTTTCCAAAGAGAGTTTAAAAGATGAAAATTAAATTAACATATGAAGTTCTTTCATAAGAAATAAGAATAAAGAAAAACTCAAGCAAACAGAATAACAATTGAAGTAAATTTTATTTTCTTTTTGCTTTCATCGTATCAATTCTTAAATCATTTTTTATTTATCTTTTAATTTTTCATCTAATTTCTCATTTAAATAATCATAGTATTTGTTTTTTTTTTATGACTATTATTCTGGATATTTTATTAAGTTATTGGATAAATAAAGTGTAGACAATTCCCTTTACAAATTATTATTTACAGGTATGTTTCAGTTTGATTAATTCTTTTTTAAAGTCTTAATTATCAAAATTAGTTTGTACTTCCAATTTCATTTAGAAATATTCTATTTATTTAAAATAGTATAACTTAATTATATTCAAACACCATTAAATCATTATTGAAGATTCACTATTATATTATGTTATTTTATTGTCTATTTATTCATTATTTGTTCGTTATTGATTTTATTATTTATTCAATTTGAAATATTATTTTCTTATTCATTTCTTCCTTCTTTTTATATTTTCTTTATCATATCTTATATTGCCATTTCTTTATGTTATTGTTATTCAATGTATTCTAATATCATTTAACACTTTTAATGTGAATATTACCATTATTCATTTCTTTTTTATTCATTCTATGTTCGGCATTATTTAATTTATTTCTTTATATTAAATATTCATGTTGTTTTTATACATTATTTTCATTTTATATTATCTCACATTTCTTCAATTCGGTTAATGACTGAAACAATATTTAACATGTGAATGAATATGAATGATATTTTATTAATGTATCATTTTTAATTCTTTTTCATTTCATTACTATTTTCATTTCCTGTTTTGTTCTATTCTATTTCAATATTCTCGTATTTAATTTTGTTAAACATGCCTCAAACAATTTAATTTTAATTAAATACCAAAACAAAAACAGAAATGAAATAATTAAAAGTAGAAATGAAATATATATTTTTACAAGTTATTCTTAATATATAAGATAATATAAGAAGATAAAAATATCTACCACATATCATTGTGATAATAAATACATCTTTTCTTATTTAAAATTCAATAGATGTAAAATAGTCTTTGATAATTGTATTATCATAAGCAGTTAAATGCATATCTAGTTAATAGATAATTGTCAACAATATTTTATTTTATTATATTTTATAATGAATTGGACCAATATAATTTAAATATAAATAGAAGATAAACAACTATAAATCACTCAATTCAATAAACCAAATAATCCTTATTTATTATATTTCATTTAGTCATTCATAATTCATAACACTGTTTATCATTTGTTTCTATCTTTTTATTTGAACCAATCAAACTTATCAAAAAAGAATCGAATTGCTCATTGCCATCTTTTCTTATTTAATGAATAATTTTCTAAATATTCTCATTGGCATGTTATTACCACATGTAATTCAAAATTTTGACTATTATTCTATTTTGTTGTTCTGTTATTGTTTTAACATTATCATACTCAATATGGTTGATTGGTTTTATTGTATCAACTAACTTCATATTATGACATTTTATCACTTTAACAACATTTCCTTCGAAATCATTCTCAACATTAGTTCAATTACATTCTTCAATTTCAACATTCTTTATTTGTTCATTTAATCAAAAGCTTAAATTATTCATTCTTTTTCAATATTATTTCTTCTTTACATTGAAAGAGGATAAAATTAACAAGATATTTTTCCTATATGTTTCTTTTAGGGCAACGAAAAAAAGCAAATAATTGAAAAAGAAGAGAATGAATGATATAAAAGAATAAAAATAAAGTAAGAAGTAGAATATGATGAAGAAAGAATAAAAGTAGAAAGGAGAGAATATAAAAAGAAAGAAGATAAAGTGTAATAAAACAAAAGAGATGATAAAAGAAGAAAAGAAAGAAAAAAATAAAGGATGCAAATTTTATTGAAACAAATAAAAAAAGCGCAAAAATTAATGATGCAAAAATTAATGATGCAAAATATTTAGCAACATATTTTATTGATGCAAAATATTTTGAAATAAAAATAAATCATCATTTGATATTAATATTATATTTGATAATAATTTATATTATATATTAAATACATCATATTTCTTTATTATTTATCTTTCTTTTTATTATTTCATATATTACATTATTATTCATTTATTATTTATATTTCATTTATTAAATAAAATGAAAATGAAATTGTAAAATATCAATCAATTAAATATTCATGAATAATAATTTATTAATATTTAATAATTGAAATAATAAATAATAATGTAACAATAATGATATATTCAATATATTCTTTATTTGATTTGTTCAATATTAGATTATTTTATTTCATTATCATTTCATTGTCTTCTTTATTTTATTTCATTTATTATTTTATTTCATTTATTATTTTTTAAAATCAAATAAACAATAATATTGATATTCATTCATCATATTCATTTAATATAATAAATATACACAACATTTCACAATAAATAATGAATATTTAACATTGAAAATATTGATTTATTTAATATTTTGTTCAACATAAAATCAATAAAACATATAATTTGATAATACACAAATGAAATATTAAAGAAATATACAATACCCAAGAATTAATAAAAAAGAAATAAAAAGAATAAATGAAAATAAAATTGATAAATAATAGAAGAAAGAAATAGAAAAACAACGAAAAACAAATAATATAAAAAGAATATAAATATATAAAAGAATAAAAAGAAAGTTTAATAAAGAATATAAAAATAATAAATCACAAAGATGTAATAAAAGAAGAAAAGAAGAAATAAAAAGTATATTTTTAATGTAAAAATTAGAAATATTCAATAAAAGTGTCTAATTTAATTGTGTAAAATGATTAACAATATTTTATTAATGAAAAATATTTTACTCTTTTTTATGTTTATTATTTATATGTATAATTTAAACATATGTTTATTATATAATCAATCATAAGTGTTATGTTATTATAACATATAATAAGTGATAAAATATAAATGAAAATGATATGAATATATGATATAGATTATAAAACAAAAGAATAATAAGAATAAATGATAAATAAATATAGAAATGATAATAAATGATATAATAATAAATTGAAAGTATAAAATCAAAATTTAATATTAATATAAATCAAAAGAGAATAAATATAAAATGAAAATAGATATAAATGATAATAATATAAAAATGATAAGGATGAATATTCAAATAAACAAATACAACTAAATAGAAAAGAATAACAAGAAGAAAATCTAAATAATATAAACATAAAAAACATAAAATAAGAAGAATATAATAATATAATAATATAGAGATAATAAGAATAATACAATGATACATAATATAAACAGAGAAATAAATATATAAAAATACGATAGATAAATAACATAATAATCAAAAGAATAAAAAGAATAAAAATAATTAAATATGATTCATCAAATCATCTATTTCATTAATATTTCATACAAAATGAATAGAAATGATCATAAAATATAAACATAAATATTTACATATTCTGTATTTATCATACTTTTTATTTTTTATTTTTTTTAGGAGCAAAATATAATAAATGGAAAATT